AATTACTATTTGTATGACTTGGATGATTGGATAAGCTATTGTTGTTGATTGATCTATGAGGTAACTGTATTGTTTGTGTTTGGCAATTCGGTGTGCGTTCCTACACCGTGAGCCAGAGTGAGATGTTTCTCACTCCCTTCTTTTGTGTTGTTTCTCTTGTTTGATATACAGGAGACCATCAACAGCATGAGGCTGAGGATGTGGACGATGGAGCTTAGGCTTCTATGTGGGATTTTGCTCTGATAGGACATGTGACATCGGGACATAGATAGAATTAGAATATGATGTTGTTTATGTTTTATTAAAGTATATATTTTGGAAAATTCAATTTTTATTCTTTGTCAATTTATTTGTTATTTGGATTAAGTACATGAATGTGAATTCTCTACTCACATGATTATTGGATTTGTCATTTCAATTTTAAATAATTTTTTTATCCAATAAGATATCAATTTTTATTATTATATATATATATGTTGGGGTAGAGGGTGTCACAGAAACTCAAGAGACTAATAAGAGGAATCATACTCAATGCTTATGAAGAGCAAAGGTCTAAGAAACACCTCCTCTGTAGAAGCCTCCTCTAGCTTCCTAACCATGGACCTAGTCAAAGGTCCAATGGCCTTCATGTGTGCATCCTCCTTGGATGGTCCTCCATCAAACCTTGGGTTGCTTCAATTCTACAGGTGGCTTGGAATAAGGGAGTAAGGATGTTACATGTGGAAGGTGACACTTAAGTTGTAATCCAATTTGTGACACCCTCTACCCCGCATATCATAACACATAATAATAAAATTTGAATAACATAACATTTTATAATTAAAATATCAAACGTTTTTAGATAGAGAGTACCACATCCATAACTTAACAAAATCAGCGGAAATTATAAAGAAATAAAACTAAAGTTTCCAAAATAATTTAATAAGTGAGACATCCTGATCTAATCCTATCTACGCCCCGATGTCACATGTCCTATCAAAGCAAAGCCCAACTATGAAGCCTAAGCTTCATCACCTACATCCTCAGCCTCATGCTGATAATCACCTATATAATGGTCAAAGGAAAACAACAAAAAGAAAAAGGAGTGAGAAACATCTCACTCTGGCTCATAGTGTAGAAATACACATCAGATAACCAAACACAAACAAGACAGGTATAGCATAGATATATTAAGAACAATATTACATCTCACTCATCCAAGACATAAAAATATCAATTTATCATATAACATTAAAAGTGCACATGTATGCACATAGACTACATATTATCATGCATGTGGCGCCAGTAAAACATCACATGGCATATTGCCGCCGCTAGCAATACACAAAGAGTAGTCTAGGAGTACATGCTGGGTCACACCCTCTACGCACTCTTACTAGAAGGACATACTACTAGGGTCTCGTCGGGATAGCTAAGCCACGCAGGATACATCCCATGCACACAATGGGCGAGACTGGGACTTCCAAACTGAGCTATCCCCAAGGACTAATCCCCAAAGATTTTACACTAGGGGGCCTTCCCTGGCGGTGTATTTCATATCGTACCCTTAAAAATATTTATGCAAATGATGCATGTCAATCAAGACTCCATGCATTCTCATATAACATTGTCATGTCTCATTAACATATCACGTCATCATGTCTCATTATCACTTTTCACATCATCTCATCATATTCATATAGTCTCTACAGAGCATTCAAAATCATATCAAAACTTGTCTATTTTAAAAAATAAACACATATTTATACATCTCATTCAATAAGGAATACATCAGAACAATCAGAAAACATTCATATTTTGCTTGTTTCTCATAGGGTTCTCACAGGAACCCATAGAACACTCTAATTCATACAATAAATATTTAAAACAATACAATTAACTCATACAATTACCTCTTCAAACCATCTCCTCTTACAATCACCAATGCATTCCCTTAGGGTTTCCCATATGAACTCATAGAGATCTCAGATCATACAATTAATTACATATAAGAAAACAATAGGTGAAATAGATATAATTGGGGAAAATCCCTCATACATGAGCATACAAAAAAATACAACAAACACAAGATTGGGGGCCAATCCCACTACCCAACAAATATTCCCACACACAAAGCAAAATTTCTCACTCCCGCTTACCTCGAGCTGAAACTAAAATCGGATCTTGTTGGTCTCCTCTGGGTTCCCCTTGGTCTTCGAGAGTGTAGAAGAAAAGAGGTCAGAAGTGAAAAAATGTGTTTTTGGAGTGTCAGAACGTTCTATTTATAGGCATCAGATGTGGCCAGAACGGCTCGTTTCAAATCCAGAACAGCCCGTTCTGGACTCATGCATCATACGTAAATTTCACATCCAGAACGATCTGTTTCAAAACTAGAATGGCCCATTCTGAAATTACATATTACCTACAACATCCATGTTTGCAACGACCTGTTCCTAAAGTGGAACGGCCCATTCTGGAATCGCGTATTACTTATAAAATCATGTGTTGGAACGGCCCGTTCCAGTCTATGGTTTAAAGGCCATTTTAGTAGTTTGGAACGGCCCGTTCTAGTTTGGGAACGACCCGTTCTAGGTTACTAAAAAAAATCAAAATATTATCAAAAATAATTTTCATAAATATTTATTATTAAAATACTCATAAATATTAAAAACCTTTAAAACATTCTATTAAACCCATTAAAATATGTATAAGAAAATAACCTCCATAAATATAAAAATAAACAATAATTAACTATTATACTAGTAGAAAATTCACGATGTTCCACAATTCGCGGGGTTAATCCTTGCCACCGCTATTGGTCAATGGTTCAATTTGTTAGGGATTGGATCTTAAGAGATTGGGATGTTGTTTTTGTATATGTATATACAGAAGTCAATATGGTGGTGGATCATTTGACATTGATCTTTGGCACACTCTTATAGTATAGACAAACATGTGCTAGAACTTCCTTCTAGAAGTTGTTTACCTTTTTTCTTAGAGATGTTATGAGTCTCCATATGGTCGGGTATGAGTTTGGCGGTGAGGTCTCTAACGTCATTAGGTCGGGCATGAGTCTGACCTTACAAGACGCCATGATATTTTTTCCCTATGATGTTTCTACAGATTAATTGATAATTGAAGATTTGAGAGGAGGGATCAAGACTGAAAACTAAAAGAATATCTTAATTGAATATTATTGTATAAATATTTGACTAAATAATGAAGTCTGATAAGGTAATGGTGATGTTGTATGAGGAGTTGTTTGGGATATTATATTATTGAATTGATGTTATGAAGTTGTATTGGGATGTGATGATGTATGTTGTGATGAATGTGATGAAGATGAATTTTTGACATGGTGTATATTAAGAGGAATACTATGATAAGATGAAATGAATAAGTCTAATGTTGCAAACTAACACTTAAGGAGATGAGTTATGTATATTGTGTTGTTGTGGTGTGTGTATTGAGTCCATGCATACATATTTTGTTTGCGGGATAGTGTGAGTCTATGCAGGTAAGATATCATAGGTCATCTATTTGTGCCTCGAGAGGTGTTATGGTGGGAAAACCTCTAACAGGAATGGGAGGCTACCATGGCCAACTATAACACTTTGACACGACCTTAATATACACTTCCTAATTGTGGTAGTTCAAGGGGATCACTATTGATAGGTGGTCTTTACACTATGGGGTGGTCTCGTTCCATGACTCTCAAGTTATTTTGTATTCTCAATAATGATGAGAAGATTAGTATCACATACATATACAATTAGAAATATTCATTTTAAGAGTCTTAATTTATAACTGATATATGTTTTGTGAATTACTAGTCATGAATGAAGAATGAATGTATAAATATGGTTATTGTAGATGTATGAAAGAATACTTATATCTATGTGAGATGTTATTAATGTCATAAGTGTATGTATACCTTTATGTCTTATATGTAAGATTTAACAATGCATTGACGACTGAAAATATTAGATTTAGAAGAGGAATTTGCAAATAAACTCTGAAAAGATGAAAGAGTCAAACACCACGAAGTAGACGATAACTAAATCGAAAGGACAGACGAACCGAATAAACAAAACAAATAAATCTCATAGACATTGAAAGTTTTTCAACTATCATCCATGGGATCAAAACCTTGGGCATAGGTTGGAAGGGGTAAAAACAAGGTATGCATGCCCTCAAAGATAATGCTTCATATGCTCTAGTTTCAAACATTGAGCCAAGGACTATAGATGAAGCCCTCAATGATAATGACTAGATCCTGACTATGGAAAAAGAACTCAATTACTTTGACAAAAATGATGTTTGGACATTTGTTCCAAGACTTGAACATCAAAGAATGATAGGATCCAGATGGGTGTTCAAAAATCAGCTAGATGAACAAGGTAAAATGATAAGGAATAAAGTTAGATTAGTAGCATAAGGCTACAATCAATAAAAAGGTATAACATTTACACCTATGGCTAGACTTAAATCTATTAGAATTATATTAGCTTTTACAGCTCATAAAGGCGTCAAACTTTTTCAAATGGATGTAAAGAGTGTTTTTCTAAATGGTATCCTAGAAGAGGAAGTCTATGCAAGACAACCTCTTGATTTTGAAAACCTATACTTTAAGGAAAATGTTTTCAATTTGAAAAAGGCTCTTTATGGTCTAAAGCAAGCTTCTAAAGCTTGGTATGAAAGATTAAGTAACTTTATACTTAACAATGGTTTTGTGAGAGACAAAGTTGACACAACTTTGTTTAGGAAAGAGTCAGGCTTAAATTTTATAGTAGTTCAACTTTATGTTGATGATATTATATTTGGTGTTACTAATGAAATTTTGTGTGAGAATTTTTCTAAGCTTGTGTAGAAGGAATTTGAAATGAGCATGATGGATGAACTTAAGTTCTTTTTAGAACTTGCAAATTAAACAAAAAGATGAAAACATCTTTATTCATCAATAGAAATATTCAAAATAACTTCTATTGAAGTTTAAGATGATGAAAATTTTTTTGAAAGACGAAGGATCCTTAGACGACAAAGCAGCACATAAGTATTCCCATTGCTTATTGTCATATACATTCAAATCCACAAGGTCTCTCGGCAGTAAATAGGGTTTTTCTGGGCAGTCTGTAAACAATAATCTTCGAAAATTAAACTCTTCGAAAATTTCTTCTTGGTACCAGTAGTAGTCACACTTTCCAAAATAAATACGATAAGTTTTAGGTCCATAACCGTTGTTAAAGATTTGTTGGACGTAATGATTGTGGTTATCCCGGTCCAGAAAGCCACCTTGAAAACATTCGAGCATAGTCATCCCTTTTGCATCTTCTACTTTTTTAATCGAACAACTGCTGAGATCCAAATATTGCATATTGGTCAAACGAGATAGTACACCTTCTGCTACTGGTAATGGTATTAAACGATTCTGGGACAAATCAAGCCATTTCAAATTTACTAGATTTTCCATGACCAATGTTGACAATGCTTGTAGCTTCTCCAGTGGAGGTATACTTTTTAATTTTCGACATCTTCTAAGCACTAAAGAAATAAGAGACCTCAGGTTTGACAGTGAATTCGGTAATGATATTAATTCTTCATTATCTGATAGATCAAGTACTGCCAGAGCATTCATGCGTGTAAAAAAAGAGTCCGAAATATGAGCGATGCGATTCTTAGATAAAATTAAGGTGGACAAGCGTGGACATTTAGGCGATGCACCCTCTTGGATTTCTTCTATTTTGTTCGACGCCAAAGAAACTGCCTCCAAATCATCTCTCCATTCCCCCAAGTCAGGTATCTTTTTCAATTTTTTATCAATTTTTACCATGTATTTGTCTTTCATTATATCGCATGCCATGTTCCTCACCAGATCATGCATATATATAGAATCCCAAGTATCAATCAACAACAAAGAATGGTTTATGAGTTTATCTATTATGACATACCCCTCATCAATCATTTCCCCCAAACTCCTCTTTCCATTCAACATTCCACCCTCAACAAGACTTTTAACCCAATCCCCTTCACCAAAATCTAAACGATTAGGTAATAGTGCACAGTATAAGAAGCATTTTTGCAAGTCCTTGTCAATTAAATTATCATAGCTACGCTTTAGTACGGCTTTGACCTCTTCTCTTATTTCAAAATTTTCAACTTTATTCAATGCATGCTTCCACCAATGAATGTCATCTTGCTCCTTCATGCTTCTAGCCATCACACTGATTGCAACTGGTAAACCATCGCACTTTTTTACAACGGATCTTGCAACCTCTTCTACTTTAGGGGGAAGCGTTGCAGGTATTCCATGGTGTCCTAATTTTAACAAAAATAACTCCCAACATATATGTTCCTCCTCAATCGCATCTAAAGGAGTCACTGTTATCATATGATCTTGCAAACAATCCATCTGTTGGCACACATGTTTCAAACGACTTGTGATAATCAATTTGATGCCATTCATTCTGAGAGGAATTCTGACTTTCTCTAGATCAATATATTTCCAAACATCATCCAAAATAAGTACTGATTTTTCTATTTTCTCCAATTCAGATGCCAAAATTGTTGCTCTACTTCTCTCATCATCTCCGTAAAGCTTTACCCCCATTGTTTCCGCAATGTGGTGTTGCAATTTGAGAATGGTGAAATCATGGGAAACAGTGACCCAGAAGACATGCTTGAAACTTTTCTTTCTTTTGATCTCATTCTCCATATAAGTTGCTAGGAATGTTTTCCCCACTCCCCCCATTCCGTGTATGCCAATAATCAAAACTTCATCATCCCCCAGAAGATTCCACATCTCGTCAACATTTTTCTCAAATTTCAGACCGACAAATTCATTTGACACCACCAGAGGCTTTTCTTCCATGTGCCCTGCCATATCATCAATCAAATCTTGTATGTCCATCGATCCAAACTGCTGCATATGATGATCATCAGCTCTTGTTTTGAGGTTTTGTACTTGATCCAACCAATAGTCAACTTCAATCTTTGGCTTCTTGCCCCGTGACTCCAACCATTGTAATTGACCCTTAATGTCTTCTTCCTCTCTTGTTAGATCGGAAACCAACTCATTTAAATCACGTTTGCAATCATCGCTGCTTCCACTCACTTCACCCTCACCTGCTACAAAACCTCTATGCATTGTTTTTGTCATTGCTTCATTAAAATTTATATATACTCAATCTCATGAATTTACTTTTTCATATCATGCCAACCGTAACAAATATAATAAAAATGTACTTATTTTAAAATTCAGAGTAATGTTCAAGTTCAAAACCTTTATTGTGTCAAGTAATAAAACTGATTATTGAACAAAACTGTATATGTTATATCAAACAAAAAAAATTAGAAAAAAACACGTGTATAAAGAAGGACAATAACAAAAAGAATTGGTGTTCAGAATAAGTACCTTCTGGTAAAGTTATTAATTGTGCATTGTTTTCATAGTTAATTGAACCACCAAAATTCATTCCGTCGGGCCATTGAGTCGCTTCAATGCAACATAAGATAAATAAATTATAATCATCATTTTTAAACTTCAACAAAAATCAAGGAAAAAATTGTAAAATAAAATAATAATTGTAATAATAATACCATTAACTTTTTTTGGCTGCAGACCTCAAAGATGAAAAAATACATACAATACTATATACTTTAATATATTATTATTAGTTACAATTTATTAAAAAAACAAAATTCAAGTGAGATGACTAAATACATGCAAAGTGAGATTCACAATATATGGTTTCAAATATAAGTAAAAAAATGTGTTAAAAAAAGCGCGTAAAAATGTATGTTAGTAAATATTTCTCAAAGTAATGATTGGAAAAAGTTTCATATGAAAGTTCTTCTCTGACGCATACCCACACTCATAATGAAAATTTTGACTGAAATAAAAAATTAGGTTGTATCGCCTAAATAATGAAAGTACAAGTGTGAAGTGGAAGACAAGAATACGTTAAGTAAGAATAGGATGCATATATACCTCTGAGTGAAGATGTTGATTCTACATTTATTTGATAGTTACCAAAAGTGTCAATCATTTGTTGGGTTATTTGATGTATTATTCTGATGTTTTTGTGGTTGTGTAGTGGCTCGTTTTGACTTTTCATGGCATGACCTTGAGTATCACCAGTAGACTTTAGAGAATTTGAAGATTGCTGTCAAGAGTTCTAAGAAATTATTTGCTGTGAGTTTTCTTCCTTCTATGTTGCTTCTCGTGTTATATTTTGTTATCTTGGCACCAGAGAGTATAGGGTTATGAGGAAAATGACAAAAGGTAGCTGAAAGAGGGGGCATGCCAGCTTAAAATTTTGTTTTTTGCATTTTGGAAGTTGGTTGCTTTTGTTTTTAAGTAATAGAAATTGAAAGCACTGTCTTTGTATGTTTACTGTCTACTTTGGCTAGGTGTTATAGGTTTTATGTTGAGGATAGTTTGTTATTTGATTTTGACAGGTTATGCTGGACACGGTGGGTGCAGAGATGCAGGTTGTTAACAAAAGCGAGAAAGCAATCTCACTTGAGGCAAATGCTCAAGTTGTTCTAACTCCTGATCAGGGACAAGAAGCCTCTTTAGAAATATTGCCCATCAATTTTGATGGATTGGCAAAGGTTCGGTGGTATTTTTGGCCTTGGCATCGTATGATGTGACTTTCTTGCATGTACATTGTTTCCATGGAATATTAACTCAATTATTTCTCCTGATTAACTATTTACACTTCTACTGCCTATGCAGTGCATGCTTGGAGTTAATTTGTCTTTCTCTTCTAAATTTCCTGGCTTGAATTAGCTATAAATTTTATCAATATGTACAATTTAAATCCTGCTTAGGTCTTAGTATCAATTACTCTGATGTTTATTTGATTCCTACATGAAAATTTTCTCCTTGTGACATGAAATATCTTTGGATGTCTTTTATTTGAATTGTAATTTGTTGTTTGCAAAATTTGTAAAATTCTTATAAGACATTGGCTCATTTCTACGTTTCAAACCAATATTTGACGTTAGTTTTTAACCTTAATGTTTATCTTTTTCTTATTGCTTATAGGCAGTGAAGAAGGGGGACATTATTTTTATTGGACAATACCTGTTCACAGGAAGTGAAACTACTTCTGTATGGCTAGAGGGAATATTAATTATTGAACCAGAATGCAAAATTTATTCCAATACATCTCTTTTTATTATAATTTCAATATTCTTCACTATCTTTTCAAATGATTTATATTGGTCCTTTCGTTTGGGTTGAGTTTGTATTCATTTATTTATTTTTAATGTGCTCAACCATTTGTTTTAGTCCATAATTTGAATACTTGTAATGGAAATTAAAATTTGCTGAATCGATATGCTCTAAATCTAAGTGTGGTCCAAGGCATAAAATGGAATATGCAACCTTCTGCCTGCATGATTAGTTATGAATGGTGCTGTCTAGCATGTTAAATTTTTCTGGCAACTAAGTCAAATTTTACTGGTCTCAAAAGCTGATTTGTGCAGAATATGATATTTCATTTTCATTTTGGGTTCCAGATTCAATCAGGATGTCATTATCTTTTATGGTAACCATTTGCTTATTTTTCTCGGTGCAAATTGAAATTTAAGATTGTTGTTCTAATATAGCCATTAATAGTTATATATTCTTGATCTTGATAGGTTGAAACTACCAAATACTTCAGCGTAATTATTAGTTTTGGCAATAATTCATATTCCGTAGATAATAACAGTTTTTCTTGTAGTGGAATGAGTACAAACCAATGCCTATCGCTATGAATCCGTCTGTGGGTCTAACAAAAGATGAATCAGGTAAACCAATATATTAGACAATCTATAAAGGTATGATTGGTCCACTCCTTTACCTGATGGCTAGTAGACCTAACATCATGTATAGTGCTTATTTAATATTCAAAGCTATAAAATGAATATTCATATATCTTTAAGGTACTACTAACCTAAGTTTGTTCTATGAGAAAAATAATTATTTCAATTAGTTGTATTCTATGATGCAGACTATTTTGGTGACATGATTGAGAGAAAAAGTACAAGTGGAGGATGTCACATTTTTGGTACGTGGTTTATTTCATGGGTAAGATATAAGAAAAAATTCAATAGCTCTCTCCACTATAGAAGTAGAATACATCTTTGGACCTAGTTGTTGCTCATATTTACTATGGGTGAAGTATCAATTAGAAGATTATTCAAGGCTTGAACATAATGTACCTATGTATTGTGATAACACTAGAGTGATTAATCTTTCTAAAAATCTCATACAAAATCCTAAAGCAAAACACATAGAGATAAGATATCATTTCATTCGTGATTATATACAAAAAAAGAGTTTTTGACATAAAATTTATTGATATTGATCACCAATGAGTTGATACATTTACTAAGGCTTTAGCTGAAGAACAATTCAAATTCATTAGAGATCATCAGTATCTAAAATCCATATTAGATTAAGCATTCATCACCTTACCTATATTTTTGCTACATTTGATGTAACAACCCAATTATCATAGAATGTACGAGGGTCCAAAAGCCCAATGAAGGTAATTTAGTAATTTACAGGGGTGTTTTAGTAGCCCAGAACGGGCCGTTCCAAAATTGGAACAGGCCATTCCAAGTTACTAAAACGAAGGTGATTTAGTGGCTCGGAACGGGCCTTTCCCAAAATGGAATGGGCTGTTCCAAACTATTAAATTTGCCTATGATTCTTAGTTGAGAATGGGTCGTTCCCAACTGGAACGGGCCTTTCCGGGTTTCAGAAATGGCCTTTGAACCTTATTGAGAACGGGTCGTTTTAGTTTCAGAACGGGCCGTTCCAAAATATGACCGTTGAGAGTTTTAATGCAAACCCGAGAATGGGCCGTTCTGGATGTGAATTTTACACATGACGTGAGATTTCAGAACGGGCCGTCCTGGATTTGAAACGGGCTGTTTCGCGAATCCTGATGCCTATAAATTGAGTGCTCTAGCACTCTTAAAATCATATTTTTTCAGTTCTGACTTCTTTTAGTTCTGATTAATTTCTTCTACATTCTCTTCTTTCCCTTCTACACTCTTTGAAGATCGAGGAGCACTTAGAGGAGGAGACCAAGAGATCTCTGTTTTAGATTATGTTGTGTTTTTCCTTGTGTGCTTTACATATAGATGTTTTCTTTTCTCACCGTGCAATTGTGGATGTTTTAGGTGAGGAAGATCCGGCTATGAGTGGCATCTAGAATGCCAACGGTTGAATTGTGGGTATGCTCTGATATTGTGACATCGGGGTAGAGGATTTCTAGGACATGAATTTTTATATGGATTTGGAGTTGTACTTATTACTTTAAAAATAATTTGTAAACTCTTACATTTTATTTTCCAATGTCCATTTTCAATTATTTTGGATATTGAAGAATATTTGTGAAGGTTTTTAATGTGAACCCTTTTATCAGTGTTCAAAATTTTATTTCCTTAATTTAATTACATTAGTATGCTTTATGTGTTGGGGTTGTAAGGGTGTCACATTTAGTGGTATCAGAGCAGGTCGATCCAATCGGCCGTGAGTTATGAGTCTACTATGCTTGTTTGGTAGATGAATGATGAAATGAATTGTGGAACTGATTGATGTGCTAATGATGAACAACTATGTTTGTTATTTATTTAATTGTGTGTACTCTAACAATTAATGTTTTGCTTTATGATGAAGATAATGATAATGAAGATGATGTTTCCCTTGCATTGTTAGTGTTGTGCTTGCACTTATATTGTTTTCTCATAGTTTGGCTAAAAGACATGATATAGCTTAGTTGATGCTATTCATGATTGCTTATTTGTTTTAATACTTCTTGCTTACGTAAGAAGTAGTGGTTGAGTGGTATCGCTCGTGTTGCGAGCATATGTGCCAGTAGTAGTGGACGAAGCCTTGTGCTAACCAACTAGAACTATTCACTACTACAAGATGCATATTTTACATCGGTTCTCTAAAGTCATTTACATCGGTTCTAAAACCGATGTAGAATAGAGCGACGTAAAAAATGTATACAATTTTACATCGGTTCTGAAAAACCGATGTAGATTTATGCTTAAATCTACATCGGTTCTCCAAAGAACCGATGTAAATTGTATTTTTTTTTTAAAAAAAAAATCATGCTTATTTTTGGATTATTTTTTATTACCTGTAATTAAATACAAATGTATGCTCATTACATTTCTTTGCTAATAGGATATAAATTTATAGTATACATAAAGCAACTCAATAGACTATTTCAGAACAAGAAAAGCAACAAAAATGTTCATCAATACCTGTTCCAAACCATCAATCTTGGAATTGATGATACATCTAGTTCTGACAAGACTTTGTCCACAACATTTATCTGCTGCTCAGCTAGGGGGTGATTGCAATTCAAAAAAATAATTAACGAAATCCAAAGTCAACACCACTAATTTCACTAACTTTCTTTTCTCTAAAAATAAAGTTCCTCACAGCAGTTTCACTTGTATGTATATAACCTGATGTCAACAACATGCACCAAGAGTGATGACTCTGCTATCTCCTCCAGTGTAGCTCTGAAGGCAGCAACCTACAAAAATCAGAAGGTGGTTTTCAGTGATTACTTCATAATTTGGGCTCTTGGACTCAACTTATTCAACATGTTAAGTTGATAGTAAACCATGTTTTAAAAAAAATAGAAAACTTCAACAGCATAATTTTTGTCAGACATCAGGGGAAAAATTGATTGTTAGAGAGTTATCTTTCTTACTAGTGTAGTAGGTAAATTCTGAATAAAACCAACAGTGTCAGTTAGGAGGAACTCCTATCCATTCTTCATCTGGATGAAAGCAAAGGAGCAAAGCACAGCATGTTACAATAATCATAATTTAAACCACACAAGATTTATTTTACTGCAGGATTTAGCTCCTTGTAATAGGGAGGGCTATAAAGTGAGAAAGTAAGGGTCTAATAACTGTTAAGTATTTTTGGAAAATTATCATATAGTTCTATCACTTAAAATGTAAGGGAAAAAAGACAGGAATAAAAATGTAAGCTATCATTAAAAGAAGAAGAAAAATAGGTTGCATGAAAGCTAAAATAAATTGAACATTATAATGTGCAACTAAATATTCGGAGAACAAAAACTATATATGTTACCAAACAAGTAGCAAAATTTATGAACGTAAAGGGAAATAAAAAGGTTGAAAAGAACAGAGAAGCATTATAATACAAACATTATTCTTTAACTCCAACTAAGTTATTACTTATTATTTATTCTCACACATCTCAGAAAGGAAATGAAATTTGAAAAATTAAATAGAAAATTAAAATTCTATGACAATATTAGACAATTAATTAAGTATATTAATATGAAATTATTAATTTTTTCAGCCACGGATATGTCAATCTCTAAGCAAAAAGGGCGGCTAGGTACAAGGCTTCCACCTAATGTGGTCTAGGAAGATGTAGTCTGGTGATAGATATACGCAACATTAGCCTCGCCAGCAGAGAAGCTATTTCCAAGATTTAAACCTGTGACCTCCAAGTCACAAGGAAACCTTACCTTTGCACACAGGATTACCCTTGTATCTATCTCCAAGCTACTCGACTAAAAAGCAAAAGGGCCCTTTAATTAAAATTGTGAAAATGATTAACTATCCTACGATAAATGAAAATGGGTTTTTATTTTTTTGCAATAATAAACTAATCAATATAATGGCTGCATAACAAAAGTGGTAAACTTTGTTTTATACCTGTCCAGCATCAATGAGAGCCAGCATTGCCCACCCAGTGTTCACCACACGAGACCTGTTGCCATTCAGATTTGAATACACCTGAACAAAGAAAAATTGCTAGGAAGATAACTCAAGAAATGTCATCAATTAAATCGCCAAAAGTAATCCAGTCAGTGTTGATTTAAAATCTTGATGTAAAAGTTCATTTCCAAGAACCAATTGTAAGAAATATGTTTCATTAATTCATCTTCTTGAATTGTGTTTCCACTGATGTTTTAGCATAAGATTCCTGATTGAGTTACATCATTACAATTCAAGCGACTTTCATACCAACAACTATATTTCACCAAAAGGAGGCTAAGAGTTTACATTTTGTTTTATTATATTCAATACAATTTACAAATACACGAAAAAAGTAATAGAAAAAAAAAACCAATTTAGATCAAAACCTTGGCAACGTCGAGACTTTGGCAATCCATAGCAGCAACTGCAACCTTCTGATACAAGGTTCATTAAGTTTAAACAAAAAGATCTATAATTATGTTATTTTAATATTACCAGCAGGAAGTTTTTTCATTAAAGGCATTTTGTGGAAGAATTATTGCCAAAACTAATAATTACGCTGAAGTATTTGGTAGTTTCAACCTATCAAGATCAAGAATATATAACTATTAATGGCTATATTAGAACAACAATCTTAAATTTCAATTTGCACCGAGAAAAATAAGCAAATGGTTACCATAAAAGATAATGACATCCTGATTGAATCTGGAACCCAAAATGAAAATGAAATATCACATTCTGCACAAATCATCTTTTGAGACCAGTAAAATTTGACTTAGTTGCCAGAAAAATTTAACATGCTAGACAGCACCATTCATAACTAATCATGCAGGCAGAAGGTTGCATATTCCATTTTATGCCTTGGGCCACACTTAGATTTAGAGCATATCGATTCAGCAAATTTTAATTTCCATTACAAGTATTCAAATTATGGACTAAAACAAATGGTTGAGCACATTAAAAATAAATAAATGAATACAAACTCAACCCAAACGAAAGGACCAATATAAATCATTTGAAAAGATAGTGAAGAATATTGAAATTATAATAAAAAGAGATGTATTGGAATAAATTTTGCATTCTGGTTCAATAATTAATATTACCTCTAGCCATACAGAAGTAGTTTCACTTCCTGTGAACAGGTATTGTCCAATAAAAATAATGTCCCCCTTCTTCACTGCCTATAAGCAATAAGAAAAAGATAAACATTAAGGTTAAAAACTAACGTCAAATATTGGTTTGAAACGTAGAAATGAGCCAATGTCTTATAAGAATTTTACAAATTTTGCAAACAACAAATTACAATTCAAATAAAAGACATCCAAAGATATTTCATGTCACAAGGAGAAAATTTTCATGTAGGAATCAAATAAACATCAGAGTAATTGATACTAAGACCTAAGCAGGATTTAAATTGTACATATTGATAAAATTTATAGCTAATTCAAGCCAGGAAATTTAGAAGAGAAAGACAAATTAACTCCAAGCATGCACTGCATAGGCAGTAGAAGTGTAAATAGTTAATCAGGAGAAATAATTGAGTTAATATTCCATGGAAACAATGTACATGCAAGAAAGTCACATCATACGATGCCAAGGCCAAAAATACCACCGAACCTTTGCCAATCCATCAAAATTGATGGGCAATATTTCTAAAGAGGCTTCTTGTCCCTGATCAGGAGTTAGAACAACTTGAGCATTTGCCTCAAGTGAGATTGCTTTCCCGCTTTTGTAAACAACCTGCATCCCTGCACCCACCGTGTCCAGCATAACCTGTCAAAATCAAATAACAAACTATCCTCAACATAAAACCTATAACACCTAGCCAAAGTAGACAGTAAACATACAAAGACAGTGCTTTCAATTTCTATTACTTAAAAACAAAAGCAACCAACTTCCAAAATGCAAAAAACAAAATTTTAAGCTGGCATGCCCCCTCTTTCAGCTACCTTTTGTCATTTTCCTCATAACCCTATACTCTCTGGTGCCAAGATAACAAAATATAACACGAGAAGCAACATAGAAGGAAGAAAACTCACAGCAAATAATTTCTTAGAACTCTTGACAGCAATCTTCAAATTCTCTAAAGTCTACTGGTGATACTCAAGGTCATGCCATGAAAAGTCAAAACGAGCCACTACACAACCACAAAAACATCAGAATAATACATCAAATAACCCAACAGAAGCCTAAAAGTGACATCAGCATCAGGTCCAATGGACTGCTCAGACTTGGCGAGCCACAGCTTGGCGTGTTCCACGCAGCACTGGAGTGCGTTCTTGTGCGAGAAGCTGGAATCGACCGGGCGCTGGAGCTGGAGTTCTCGGCTAGGGTTTCGGTGCCGCGGCGGGTGTGCGCGGTGGAGGCTTCGAGCTCCTCAGCGAGGGTGGAGGCGAGAGGCTGGCGGAGCTTCTCGAGCTCGTCGATGAGGGCAGGACGGAGGGCTTAGAGTGGAGGACCTCCTCCTGCTCCTTGTTGAGCGGCTTCCCTTGGGAAACGGAGTCCTCCATGGCGTTGATGGTTCAGCTTCTTGCGGAGGGCGCGAAGGCGCTTGCTAATTAGGCTCATCATGGGGCCGTCGACGACGTGTTGCGGTGGACGCCATTCGCAACCAAGCACCTCCTGTTGTTCGTGTTCCACTAAATCGAGGTTCGTACGGTGGTGGCGCCGCGGGGCAGCGGCGGAGGGAAGGGTTGTTTGGCGGCATGTGGTGTGAGGGGTTTGGTTGGGTGAGACGGCCCCGAGTGGGGTGCCTCCAGCGAGCATATGTGTTCTATGGAGAGCCCGCGAGAGAGGGTGAAGGGCCGCAAAAATTTGGCTTTGGTTTTACATCGGTTAAATGCAAAACCCGATGTAGATATTCTATTTTTACATCGGTCAGATATAGACCCGATGTAGAATGGTTTATATCTTCAATTTATTTACAAAACTGCCACCGTGTTTCTTATTTACATCGTTTATAGAGGAACCGATGTAAATGTAAAGATGTAAAATGGTAATTTTGTAGTAGTGATTAGAACCTTGAATGTAGGTGAGACATTGATTTATCGAGTGTATTAGGAGGTTACGATTGGTGGAATTTCTGAAAGCCATAGTTGTAGTGATTGAATCCAAGAGGTTATGTGTTGAGCATTAAAGCTTTGAGCATTCTTGATGAAAGGTCAAAGTTTTGGTGATTTCCTTAAGTTTTGATGCTTGCTTATTAACCTAGTTAGGGGTTAGGTTGCATGAGGATTTTACATCTGATATAAGTCTTTTGTGTGGAATATGTGAGTTGTTTTAGTTTAGGATTGTAGTGGGAAGCTTGAATATGAGTTTGAGGTGCAAAGGAGTGAGTTTGGAAGAGTTGAGGTATTTTTGTGGCCTTAGATATATTGATACACTATTGCTGTTTGGTGTAGAGGATATTTTTTCTGCAGTTTTGTTGTGCCAGTATGAGTACCTTATTGACAGATTTAGATTTTGTGGTCTTCATAAAAGTTGTAGCCTTGGACGTTATCTTTCCAACGGAACTAGAATCAGGTAAAAGGGAGGTATATAACTCCCGTTATAGCTACTTTGGTGATCAAAGGTCTAGCTGTAAACGCCGAATATATCTGCTGCGGTTTTTAAAATTTTTAGCTAAGAAGATGATCTTTTAAAATCTTATGTCTTCATAAGAGTTGTAGCTTATTCTCTTAGCTTTCTTTTGAGATAGGTTTAAGATCATTTGGATGAGTAGAACTCTCTAGGTATCATTTTCTTTGATCGTTGTTGAAGGGATATGTATGGTGTCATGATATTTTTGAATCGTTAGGCAACGCAAGAATAAAAATTGATTTTTGTCATGATTCTGAGATGTCATGATGGAATAACACTAAAGCCAAGAAGTCCAAGAGGTGATGTATTGAAGGAAGCAAAAGGAATGGGTTAGTGTTGAAAAACCATAGGAGGAGTGAGGCCACTTTTGGACCTTAGCTCTTAAGTTTTTATTAGCATAGCATTTATTTTATTCCTATTTTACCCTTATATTTGATTTCCTATTTTACCCTTGTATCTTGGGGTATTTTAGTCTTAGAATTTATTTTACTTGTATTTCCCATTTTACCCTTGTATTTTGGGGTATCTTAGTCATAGGATTTATTTTCTTTTGTATTTCCCATTTTATCCTTGTATTATGGGGTGCTTTAGATCATAGGTTTTTATTTTTGGGCTAAGGTACTTGATTAGGGTGGGAACAAAACCTAGACATATTTTTTGTGGCTCTTGGACCTATTTTTGGTGTTAGAAAGGCTTAGGCCCAAGTGGAGGGCAAAGGTTGCATGGTCTTATCATGCACCTAGATGTAGCCTAACTAATCCCAAAGATTCCATCCTTGGCCACCAAGTTGCATCTAGGGTTCATTTGCATTTCATTTGGTGTGCATTTGGCTTGTGAATTTCGTCCATGCACTCTCCAAATGCAACCCTAGATGCCTCCCACTCCTATAAATACCCTAGGCTATGCATCATGTAAATACTTTGGAATATATGAATTTGAGTGAGCATTTTTGCCTCAAATCCTCTCCTTAGTCACTAGGTCTATTCAGCCTACGTCTCTTATCTCCTCCTTAGAGTGAGTTTAGGGATACCTTGAATGGCCTTCACCTCCACTTAGTGAAGAGAGCCAACTAGAACACCCAAAACACCATCCTCCCTTCATTTCTCATATTCGCCCAAGCCATCACCATCTACGCCCACATTCCTTTTTGCCTCACCCTTGAAGGACATCCACCCCCTAAGGTCACTATCTTGGCCTTGGCATGGAGCTTCTCTTCACCATTGACGTTTGTTCATCCCCTTGGTGGAAGGAGTCCATCATTTGGTATCAAGAGCTTAGGTTATCTTCAAGGGTAACTAGCTTCCTTTCCATTTTCTTTGAGTCTTTATTTCTTGAGTCTTGATTTGCGTCATCTTTGTGTCTCCTTGTCATCCATGAAAGTTTTGCCATAAGGTCTCATCATATTATTCTATGGCATTCATTGTTCATAAGCCTCCTTTTGTGCTTTAGGGTTTTTCTTGAGTTTTA